TTCTCTATGACGATATATATACAGTCTGTCTGTCCAGTTTTCCCTCTGGCGAGGGTGAGTGATAGTCTGCTTTGATTTTCGTTACAGAGGACGGTGGTTAGTCAAGGTGAATTGCAGAGCTGCCATAAATGGGCAGAGAGGTAAGGATGCGAGCTCCGCCCCCGCCCCCCCCCCCAAAAAAACAAAAAGGGGAAGTACAAAAAAGAAAAAAACAATGCCACCAAGGCCTATAAAGCCACACAATTCTGAAGTACAAATCGAACCAAAACAAACAAACCAGATGCCCCCCCCCTCCCCCCAAAAAAACTATTCTCTCCCAAATTGTCTACAGAAACAAAACAGAGCTCGTACCCCCATTACAAACAAAAAGCACTCAAAACCCGCCAAGCACGCCTATTCCAATCAAAGCTACTTTCTATTATTATATTCGTTTCATACCTCTTATCAAACACACATTATATCTTATTCTACCACCCCTGCTAACCTGGTAATTGGCCTACGTACCACCAAAAGGCGGTGGTGGATATCTCCACTCGAGATTCCAAAACGTTTCATCTCTCGCTCCCTCCTCCCTGAACCCCGCTGCCTGTCCACTGCGACATTCAACCGAGCGGACAGGGTGTACTTCCCAGGTTTTTTTTTTTTTTTTTTTTTTTTTTTTTTTTAAGGCTAATTCTTTAAGCCCAGCCAATTCAATTACCTGTCAAATCTAGACAGGACGGCCTTTTCAGACCTTTTTTTTATTGTCATTATAGTATTACGGGGAACCCCGTAGCAGCCACATTCGTCCTGCTCAAGCCTCCAACGAGGGAACATGCGGGAGCTGCACCCACCCACCAGCAGGTGGTGCGATACCTCCTGCTACAGCAGGTGGGCGATACCGGCCAGGGGTCAGCCTGATGGTAGCATCAGGACCGTTCTTTGCTTCTTCGATGGGCCAGTCACTGTGCCTCCCCTCAGGTGGTGGTCCCCTCCCCCTATGAACATCAGCAGTCTCTGCTCAATGCCCCTCGGGGGAACCAACGGCATATCTCTAGGTGGTGGGCGCCAAGCTTGCCCAGGAAGGTATATGACGCCAATGGGGATTGAACCCAAGACCTCCTGAATGCCACTTGCGTGCCTTACCAACTGAGCTATCAGGACAAGGGCCCACCGGAGGCCCGCTATTTTCCCACGCGCCAAAGGTACTCGTGGTTAAGGAATATCAGGAGAGCGGTCTAGGGTTGGCTAATCTGTTGATAGAAGAATTCTCCCAACGCCTGAAGCGAAACTGGGTCATGCTCCCCCAGCCTTTTTTCCGGGTTGATAGTTGAAGGATTCCCGGCCTCATTGGTTACTTGAGCATAATGAAAGCCTGCAAAAGGTCCCTTTTTTATTTATTTAACAAAAAAAATAAAACGGGGGAGGGATTGTGGAAGCGAAAAAGAAAAAAAAGAAAAAAAAAGAGAAAAAAGATTGTGGAAGGGATGTATTCTGATCGTGCCTGGCACCAAGCCCTGCAATAACAAGCGTGCACGTGAATAATATCCGTTTCCTCGGGTTGAGAGTGATGCTCCTGAAGGCACGCCTGCGGTTAATTCTTCTTTCTTACTATTACTTAATAGTAATTGATGGCAGACTTGGAATTATCGTCAACCCATGAAGACTGAATCTGGCCGCAAATGCAGTCAAATGCATTCCCAGGTGGTGGGAATCACTCTCGTCTTTCTTCCCAACAACAAAATGAGGGCATTCGCATAATCCTGGATGGTGTCTCTGATGACAGTGCACAGTGCATGCAGGCCAGCAAGAGAAGAGCTGAGGAGATCGGGGTTATGACATCATAATAATAATAATAATAATAATAATAAAAAATAAAAAAGACATTGCGCTTGTCAAGGTGCTGATGATGGCCGTAAAATGTCTCGGGGAGCGTCCAGAGGGGGTGAGGTTGGGTTCTTCGCCAGCAAGGCATCCCACGGGTTGATCTTGACCGCCGGAGAAGGGGAGGGGATAGGGACCTTTGCGCACGGAGGGAACGGAACGGGGCGACGTGGCGCGAGCTGTTCAAGGGAAGAAGAGATTCTTCACGACGACGAGGAGACGGGCCCTCGCTCCAGTAGAGTCACGAAATCTGAAGAATGATCATGAATCTTCCCGTAGAACATGGAAAGAAACATAATCATTTTCTTTTTGCTTTTATGCACGTAACGAGTACTTGATTGAGGACCAGATTCTTCGACTTGTGTACTGCGGACGAGCACGGATGTCCAACACCGTTACCCACGAGCAGCGTCGGTCGTACGGACGTGCAGCGTCGATGGTACGGACGTGCAGCGTCGATGGTACGGACATGCAGCGTCGGTGATACGGACGTGCGGCATCCGGACGACGCCTGCTCAAGACGCACGGGAAGCATTGGCAGCTAGAGGAGGAAAGGTGTTTTAGAAGGACAGGTCTTTTTTTCAGCAAAAGGGTGGTGAGGAGGAAAGGTATAGGGAGAGAGGAATGACAAGGACAAGCAGACACGTCCTTTCGGACATCCGTTAAAATTGGAACGATACAGAGAAAGAAGATTAGCATGGCCGCTGCGCAAGGATGACACGCATAAATCGAGAAATGGACAAGTAGACAGAAGGGGATGCGCCAACGGCAAATCGTTTGACAGGAATAGTGACGAGGACGACTGGGCCCGCAGCGGGCTGGCTAGCGCCACAAGTCCGCGCAGCGATGGTGGAGACGATGATCGGTCGGTAGGGATGGGATGGTTACGGCAACAACCACCAGTGATCGACAAGGTCTCCACTAGAACGACGAGGATGACAGGTCAGCAAGCGCGGCGACGAGTACCGTCTTCCTCACAATAGAATCGTACGGTCATTAGAATCGTACGGTCATTATTCGGTGCAACTTTTCAGTCTAGATACAGCCATAATGACCGTACGTTCTATCTGGGGGAAGACGGTAGTCGGTGAGAAGCCGGCGGGGTGACGAGCGAGGATGACAACAGATCAGCAAACGTGGCGACAAGGACTACCGTCTTCACCCGAATAGAACGCCCCGTCATTATCGCCGTATCTGGACTGAAAGTTGCCCCAAATACAGAAATGATGCCCGGGCGTTCTATTTGGGTGGCATTGTGAGACGGTGAAGTTAGTGGTCGGGGGTAGTAGGGCGGTGACGTCGGGGACGACTGGTCATCGGCTGGCTTTTCGCCAGAACGCAACGCCAGGTCGCCAAGCGAGGCGACCAGGACTATCGATCGACCAGGGGGCGTTAGCGGCAAGACCGGTCGGCCAGGGGGCGTTAGCGGCAAGACCGCGCAGTGAGGAGGGTTACTGACGAGACGAGGAAGGCTACCGTCTTCCCCCGAACACAACGCACCCTCATTTTGGCTGTACCCGACCGGAATGGTATCTCGTATACATCCAGTATCACGGTTCGTTACGTTCCGCGGAAGACGGTAGACAATCGGCTGGCGGGGCGAACATGACACGTAAGCGAAGGTCGTGTCGTGGACGACGAGCGTCTTCACCGCAATAGAACACACGGTCATTATCACTGTATCTAGACCGAAACTCGGCCCAAATTCAACAGTTCTAACGACCGTGTGTTCCAGTAGCCATCAAGCGTAGCGACGA